CATGAATTTTCTGAATCATTGCACTCCTAATATATACATATATGCATATATATTTTTTATTTATTTATATATAGCAGCAAAGCTCCTAAAGCAGCTTTTTAAGTATAAATGTTGAACAAGGTTAGCAGAAACCAGATTTTGTCTTTTGAGGTCTGTATCGCTCTACAGGTCAGAATGTGCACAAAAAATAAACCCAATATCCTCTTTTTTAAATAAACTCTGACAAGAAGAAAGAGCCTATGGCGGCAATAAAAAACGTTTTGTTTCGGCGGCAGACAATGTAATCAGTTTTTATGCTTTCTATCATTTTGCTACCTTTGGTTAATCACCTGCGGCGTGTCAAGTTGTTTAATTTCCCCCCAGGAATAGGTGTGCACTGAACGCACTGTGGTTTACTAGCAGCAGATGAAACAGACAGACAAGCTGCTCCCCCCAATGCAAAAACATTCCCATACCTACTTTAAATCTTACATACAAAAATAATAAGAATAAAAAACTTACAAAAATCAATCTCTTTTTTTAAAATCTCCTCTTAGAAAAGATGAAAGTACCACAAAAGAGTTGTCGAGTTGTCAAAGCCTGAGATGTGATGGGGGGATTTGGTGAAAAACTGAGGCTTGTGGTGTTTGGCTGCTACAAAAGATATATAGCTATATATAATATATGTTGTATAGTGTTATGCTCTTGATTATACTGATAGCTTAGGTAAGCAGGAGAGGTAGAGCGATGCTCTTTTTCCTGGTCGCCAGTGTTTCATTTCCCGCTCCTCTGACGGTCATCGTGGATATGGAGTCTCGTCGCTAGTTCCAGCGGAAGTGGATCTGGCGCGGGCGGTCGGCACCCTCTTTTACCAGCGGCTTGTGAAACTCTCGTCCTGCGCGGGAGTGGATGTTGGCCCAGCAGAACTCGCAGTAGTACTGAAGACAGGTGACGTTAGCACAAAAGAAGGGAGCGAATTTCCCTCCACAGCGTGCACCCTGACACTCATCACACAGCTGGTCATCCAAGACATAGGGCTTCACCTCCACCTGCAAACACACAGAAACACTCATGTGAAGGATAATGGCAGCTTTGGTCATAAAAAGTCTGAAAAATGTTGATGTTACTTGTTGTAGGTAGTAGGGGGGCAACGATACAGAAAATTCATGATTTGGTTCGATATTTTTTTTGCAGATGATGAAAGTTGAAAAGAAATCAACTTTTGTAAGAGAGTATAATGATCAACTGTGTCAAACGCTTTATGAAAATCAATATATACAGCACCAGTTACTTGACCTTTGTTCAAAGCAGCACGTATTTGTTCAGTGAATAAAATTAATGCAGACAT